CGGTTGAATGCCTTTAGCATAACTACGACTACATTCTGCCTGCTAGGAGTCTACGCTGTCCAGTCTGATCGGGAAGCCCGGTTTTGTGAGTCGATGCAACTTACGATGCTCAAGGACCTACCATGACTCCCCTGATTCTAACAAATACGAAGGCATGACTTTTTTGGTTAAGCGAGGACATATAGAGGTGAATACGATTACCTCCGTCAACTGGCAAAGACGTTGACACGAGGCAGGATAAATGCTAGTTTGCACGAAATCCTCTGAGAGCCTTTAATACTTCAATCAAACAGCCATGCTGACAGAAAGACTTTATGGTCTTTCGATTGAGGTTTGTGGATGAAATTGCGCCTTTAACTACCGGAGCATTGAAGTAGTTCTGGTAGTTCGAAGCTGCCTTTTCATTAAGTCGTCATCGAACTCTGCGTAGCATCGACCGCACCTCGATAGCACCGTTTCATGAGGTACAAGACTGCTTTTTCTTAACTCGCTCTCTCCGAACCTACTCCTGATTCATGTTGCAAGTGCACAACATCATTTTGATCCAGTGTGGTTGGTTAGCAAGAAACCCGCGGCTTGAACCAATCTAAACACCATTTCCCTGAACTAACGTTCTTGGCACCAACGATACGTTCGCTGCCAGTTTCCACCCACGTCTCAAGATAGTCTCCTCAAAGTCGCCAGTTAGGCCCAGGTTATCGCAGGACATGACTGAACCAACTCATTTAAAAGTTCAATTGTATGCAGTCTGATAATTCTGGACAAGAGGATAACTTCTGGAAGGCAGGGCCATGTCTCATGACTTAGTGGTGGACTCCTATTCTCTAAGGTGTTATCTTCACACTGGCTTTTAAACATCCTAGGGGTGCAGTCTTGATACCGTGCTGATTTTAGGCTAATATCATTCTTATTATCTTTAATAGAATGCCATCATACAGCATAGACGGCTACGGCTAGTCAACTGTTGACGCAATATACACGAAGCATAAGACGGGTTTCTGCTACTGTTTCCTACTCATGTCTCTGATGATGAATCCGCGAAGGATGTTGAAACGTCAGGTGAATAAACGTATTGTCCCAGTGATCGAGTCTTCTTCTCACGAAGCATAAGAGTCTGCAGTTGAAAGCAACGACCGTGTTATGAAATTTGATTAGGAAATAGCCGCTGATCAGGTTACTGCCCCGTCTCAGCCAAAAGTTGTATTTATTCGCACGGCTCAAGCAGAAGCATTTGGACAGGCGACTGCGAAAGCAGACACGCCACAGTAGCTCACATGAAGTCGTTTTCCAAACCAATCAATTTTGTGGATTTAGTCTCTTTTACCAGACTTGGTTAGGTTGAGAGGTCGTTTAACCCATCATCTCTAGCTCTGGAACAGTACTCGTAGGTTGCTTCTGAAGGCAACTTTAACCAGGTTCTTTACTGCCGTCTAGTGTCGTTCTTGCTG